TTAGGCTAACCAGAATAATAAACACCCTGGAAATGCCAGTAAGATGATCTTGCATACTATGGAAATAATCATTAAGGAATTAATAATGAACCTGTTATTTATAAAATTAATCCCTATTCAGCCATCTTTTCTTACATCACACTAAAATACATTCCTTTGTTTTAAGATCAGTCTGCCTCTGATCGTCAGATGTTGTAAATATCTGGAAATACAATGCAAACTCATTGCAAATTGAATATTTTTTAAGTTGTGAAAGTGCAGACTTTGATGAATTCCATGAAAGCATGTTGAAAACTTGGCTAGAATCACAAACAAAACAACTGGCAAATGAGGTTCTCTTAGACATCTTTACAGTTACCTTAGTGATAAAACGTCCTGCAGAAACTCTGATGTTATACCTTGTATATGGGTCTATTATGAACTGAATTGTGCCACCCCCCTAAAATTCATGTTTACATTTTAATTCCTGGTGTGACTATATTTGGAGATAGAACCGTTAGGGGATTAATTAAGATTAAATGAGGTCATACGAATGAAGACCAAATCCAATAGTACTGGTATCTTTATAAGAAGAGAAAGAGACACCAGATCCCCCCTCCCTCTCTCTCTCTTTCATTTTTTCTTCCTCCCTCCCACCCTCTCCCTCTCTCATGAACAGAGGAAAAGCCAACTGAAGACACTGTGAAAAATGCAGCCATCTACAAGCAAGGAAAGAGGCCTCAGAAAAAAATCTGTTGACACCCTGATCTTGAGCTTCTATTGCCCAGGACTATGGGAAAATAAACATGTTATTTACGTCACCCAGTCTGTGGTATTCATTATGGCAGGGCACACAGTCTAATAGAGGCTCATTTACACTGCTGGACAAGATGCTATTCTCATCATCCAGGAGTTAAAATGAAAAGTTACATATTGAGTGTTTTTATGACATAGGTACTACTGAACATTTAGCAATCATGATCAAATTTCATCCCTATTGAGCCACAGGAAGTAATATAACATCACAATCTTTATAGGTGAAGAAGCAAAGGTAAAGATAGGTTACCATCAGTCACTTGCCAGTCACCTAGTTAGAAAGTAGTGAAAAGGGGTCTCCCTGGTGGCACAAGGGGTTAAGTATCAGCACTATGAAGCTATCAGTGGTAACTACAGCAAGCTTCCATGACTGGCCAGGGAGCTAACCCACATGGCACAGGAGACCTCTCCTGTCTCGCCTGCTGCTCCCCTCAGCAGTGTGTTTCAGCCAATCCGCCTGTTCTGCTCCACACTCTGTCTCTGGTGAATCCTCTCAATTCACAGCCCCCCCACCTCTGACCTACACCCCAGCTCTTGCATGCATGCATAAATAAAATAAATCTTTAAAAAAGGAAGTACTGAAAGAAGTCAGAATTCAAGTAGCTCAAAATCCAGAGCCCTACTCACACAGCATTGGTTTTCAGTTCACTCTGCATTGAAAAGTCATTGGTGTGCTTTATAAATAATGTTGCCTGGATTCCTGCCTGAGGTTCTAATGTCATTAGTCTGGGGTATGGCCTGACATCCTACATTTTTTAAAGACCCCCAGCTTTTAAAAGCTATCATTTATACCAGAAAACAGACTGATGGACACGGAAAGGAAGAATGTTGGGGTAGGATGGGTAAAAGGGACAATTGTATGGTCATGGATTGAAAATTTATATATAAGACCTGCAGCAATAAAATCGAAAGAAGAAAGTATTAGTGATATGCCCTATGACATTAATGATAAAGACTTTTTTGTAGATTCAACCCCAATGGAAAAGAAATAAAAAAGCAAAAATAAACAATTGGGATTACCTCAAATTTAAAAGCTTTTTCACAATGAAAGAAATGATAGAATAAAAAAACATAATGAGTGGAAGAAAATAATTATACATTACACAAACAACAAGGGTTTAATATTCAAGTTATATAAAATCATATACCATTCAGCAATAACAAAATAAACAATCCAACTAATAAATTCACCAAAGAGAATATCTAGAAGCCAACAGATACATGGAAAAGTGTTCACCATCACTTTTAATAAGGGAGACGCAGGTTAAAAACACAATGATATATCTCACACCCATGAGAATGGCATATATTAAAAAAAAAAAGTACAATAAGACTAGAGAGGATACAGAGAAAGAGGAACCCTATTACACTTTCGGTGGAAATGTAAATGGATACAATCATTTTAGAAAGCAATCTGGATTTACTTAATTAAACTAAAAGTGGAAATACTGTATGACCCAGCAATCCCACCCCTGGGCATCTATCCAAAGACCATGAACCATCAGCTCAAAAAACTATATGCTCTGCAATGCTCACTGCAGCACTATCAACGAAAGCTGAGACATGGAAGCAATCAAAATACCAATTATTAGAAGACTGGATCAAAAAGAGATGGTATATTCACATGGATTACTGTTCAATCATAAGTAAAAATGAAATGTTCCCAATTATAGAAAAATGGAAAGAGTTCAAGGGAATTATGTGCAGTAAAACAAGACAGGATGACAAAGACAAATACTAGAAATTTATATAATAATTCAACAAAATAAAATACTTATAAAAACTAAGTGTTGATTCTGAAGTTAAGAGGGAAGGAGAGAAAAAGGGTCAAAGGGGAAATAAGAGATTGTGGTGGAAAAAAATAAAGGTTTTGTTTATGGTGGTGGTCTCCAATGTTGAGTGGCTATGGTCACATGCTTGTTGGGTGAGAAGGGGTGACGACTGGAGAATGTCTGGCTAGCACTACAGTGAAGTTTGAACTTTCATGTAGTTCCAAAATTGGGTAAAATTAAGAACATTCCAAAGGCTATTTAATTTTTTAAATCATACTTCCCAATTCTCTGTCTACTTCATGCTGGCAGTGCAGCAATGAAGGGACACAGTCTCTACTCTCCAAGATCTCACAGCTGAGTGGAGATAAGTATGAAAAAAATAAAATAAAACATACTTATTTTCTATCTAACAGGTTGTATGAGTAGGAAATCTAGGTTCCTACTCAGGACCTCACAAGGTTATATTCAAGGATCACCCAGGGCTGGGGTCTGAATGAGGGGGAAAGATATGTCCCAGTTTCCTTTAGGGAATGAATGGGCTCTCCATTTTCTTGCTGGTTGTCACTAAAGCACAGGTCTCAGTTCTGATAAGTTGCCTATAAGCCCTCTTACAACATGGCAAAAGACCTCTTCACGGAAGAATATCTACCTTAGTCTGTTGAAAAGTCATATATAATTTTTTTTAGTTATGGGAGTAAGACATCATCTTTGTTATAAGATAAACTTAATCAAGGGAGTGATATCCCATCGCATCTGCCATCTCCTACCACACATGACTCATTGGGGGTCACCTTAGGTTGTATTTGCCATGCAGTTTACCTTATTGGGATCAAGAACTAGAGCTCTAAAGCATTCTGCTCTATTTCTTTGAATTTCATAGATTTTTTTTTCCTTTTCTTTACTACACAATTTTAAATAACATGGAAGACAAACAGAAAAAAAAATTCCATGCCCTATTGTTACAGTTATTTCTATAAAGTTGCCAATATTCAACAATTTTTACATATAAGAAATTATAGTTTTATATGTTTCAACTAATGTTACACTTCCCTGATAAATCATATTTCTAAAAAATGCCCAGATATAGCCTGAAGTTCTGGTAGAGGAAGTCAGAGACAGATCACACACCATATCTTATTCTCCATCAGTGGCACTTCGGTAATTCCAATGCAAATCCAAAAACATCCAACATTAAAATATAGTCTGTGAAGTGTGTCCCTGAAATATACTCACGTTTTACTTAAAATTCATGACTGCGCAGTCACAAATTTTAAAAACTTGACTCTGAAGAGACAAAATACAAATTATTTCAACTTGAGGTGTCTACAAAGGTAACGTATTATGGTTTAAGAACTACTTAAGCAGAAATGAAAATAATTGACTGTTTCAGTGTTCTAGAAACCGTAACCTAGACAGAACATTTTTATTTTTATTTATTTATTAATGAATACTCGACCACCTCTGATGTGACATTCTCTGGAGTGAGTGGGCTGTCTCATTCCCGGTAGGCCTTCCTACCTATGACTACTGAGGCCACAATGAGAATAAAGTGACTAATATACCTATGTGACGATTTACCTAAAGAGTTCCATTCAAAATTGCCTCCCAGATTCTCCTTGAAAGAATTAAAAGTAGCTTATTCACCACTCCTAGACTTGACTAAAATCTCAGAATCATTGGGTATACTGTGAGTTTAATTTCAAGGAAGAAAAGTCTAATTTTGGAAATGTGAATGGCACTAAGAAGAATTATAACACATTTCTAAAGAGTTTTCTTTGCCTGGTGAAATGTGTAACTTCCTATAAAAATATCTCAGATCCAGGCCTTCGATTTTTTGACAATAGGATTCATGGCCTTTTGAGAAGTTGTGCTACTCTTGTAAGAGAAGTATTGATGGCATAAAGAATCCAATATTCACCAGGAGATTTTTCCATCTGAAAACACATTAGGACAGTCCAGGTCACTTCCATTCACAAACACGCTCTAGCTATGTTATCTAGTGCAGTATCCACCACCCACATGTGGCTAACTGAGCACCTGAAATGGATCTAGTCTGAATTGACAAGTGCTGGAACTACAAAATACATATCAGATTTCTATGAATAAATACCCAAAAATATAAATATAGCATTAAAAATTTTACATTGATTATGTTAATATTATAATAGCCAATCATGATCTATTAGATGAAATAAAACTAATAAGTTAGTTTTACTTATTTCTTTTTGTATATAACTGCTAGAACATTTAAAATTATGTATGTGTCATACATTTTATTTCTACTAGGTAAGATTCCTCTAAAAGGAGAAGTCCATCCTCTTCCTGCCTACTAGGCCAGACTGTACCCAGCAGGTATGCCAGTTTTGAAGGCCCGAGCTGAAACTTCAGATCCTGAAATATGTAATGAATGGACTTTAGATCCTGATTCTGAAAGATAGAAGAGAAGGATTTATACTAGTAATCAAGGTGATGAATAAAAAAACAGGCAAGTGAATCACAAAGCCAGGTTTCCATGAGTGTCTCAGGAGAACTATGGTTCTCAAATGTGGTCCCCAAGCCAGTAGCACCAGCATCACCTTAGAACCTGCTAGACATGCAAATCCTCATACCCCATCCTTTACTTACTGACCTACTGAATCAGAAACTGTTTTAAGTAGGCCTCCAGGTGATTCTAATACAGTCTTCAAATTAAGAACCTTTCCACACTTCATTTAAGATCCCAGTTACCCTGTGGATTAGAAATAGTTTGCATCATCTTTAACAAGTGAGGAAGCTATGAGAGAAAAAATCTTGCCCAAATTGTACAGTTATTAAGTGTCAAAAAAAAAATCAAGCTTTCAACTCATGTGTTTCAAATCCTAAAGTCAATACTCACAATCTAAACAGACATAAAATCAGTAAGAAAAAGAGAGGTAAGTGGAAGATCTAAATAAGTGATTGTTAAACTTTTAGGAGTCACCAACCTGAGAATCTAGTGAAACTCTGGTCCCTCTTCCAAAAAAACACACTTTCACACAATGTTAATATAACTTCAGGTCATTCAACCCCTGGAAGTCCCTACTGCATCCAATTTTATAATCCCTGATCTAGAGCCTGAAATTGGATAAGCCATTCCTCATAGTAAACTAATCCACCTCAGCGAAAGGCGATTTTGTACATACAATGCTTCCAACTAAAGATACAATGAAAGAAAAATTTGGTCTTAGATGTTTGAAGGATGAGAATCATGGTTCTTCTATGGCCTTACCCAGAACAAAATGCTCATTATTGGCTTATAGCTACAATGGCTTTTAGCAGAGAAAGTAGCAGACACCCAATAATCTTGAAATCTGAAAGGGGCAAGGTCTCAGGAGGGTAGAAAACCATGGATCTTGGTCATGTTTGCCTTTAAGGTCAGAGCACTGTGAGAAATGAGTAAAGAGCCTTGTTAATATTGTCTGTCTTATTCTTTTGAAGAGAACGTTAATGACAGGAATTTCTACTTGTGATAGCTTTGGAAACACATCAGGCTAAAAAAAATGATGTACAATGAACGAAAGTGCTTTTGTGATTGTGATTATAGTACAGAAAGTATTTGCAGAGCCTGAAACTGTTTGATAAGCTCATTTTTAGCCTGACCTGGAACTTTCATAATTTATTCTCAAACAATGGTGATGAAATGGGGATGGTGGTGAAGGAGAGGAGCCTTTTCATGAACCCATAAAAACAGAGCTGAACATGTATCCTTCATAAAAGGGAAAGTAGGTTATCTTAAACTGTAATGGTAAATTCTTATTGTTTCTTTAATAGGTAATTCTACCTTTGAAAAGATATAAAAATATTAAGGGCGAATACAAAGCTCTGTGCATTGGACATTTAGTTATTGCCTTAAAGTATTAGGCAGTCACTAATATAAGTGGACTAAGTTCTGAAATTTCGTACTTGAGAAATTTTTCCAAAGAAAATGATAAATTATATAGACTTTGTTTTTTCTAACTACATCAAGGATTACTTAAAATATTTGCTTTTAGAATCATCCTGCAAAACCTAATCATTATTTATGGAACTATGTCCATGGGGAAATAAAATAAATTTTAGAAAACTGGTTCAAACCTACTATTTACTAAGGAAGAGACTTTTACTACCTTTTCTAATGCTGGAAAATAAATCAGATTTTTCTTTCCAATGGTTATAGAGGAAGCAGTTTCTCCTTTCCTCTGACAGCTAGTTTTATAAGCAGAAGGAAATGTGCCCCCTGGTGGTGATCACATAAAAGCCTGAAATAGTCATAACTTAGGTATTTATGCATTACAAATTACTTATGCATTCTTTTTCTCCACAACCATGAGATTTTTTTATACACTTTCATGTGTCTCAAAACATCTAGGGAATTAGAGCACATCTGGCAGACAAACCTCAAGTTGTTGAATGATTATTAAAGACACTGATTCTTTACTAATGATTGGACAAGAGTGATTTATTCTTGCCAGCTACTAGCATAGAATCATAAGTAAGCGTTTTTCTTCCAAAATGAGTGCACCATTATAGAACTTTCTTTAAAGTGGTTCCCATTAGTTGTAATATATATGTAACAAAATAGTCCCTAGCTTGAAATTTCTGTGCCTAGCTTTTTCAAGCATTACCTGCCCTACCTACTCCCTGCCCTCATTCTTATATCCATATTCTACCTATTAGATTTAATGCTGCAGTTAAACTGATCTTGTCATTTCCCTGATGCAATCTTCACTGTCCTCTCCCCATTGCCTTGATTCATGGTTTTCCTTTCGCCTTACTTCCAAGAAAGAAGTCCCTTTTTCATTCTATACTACCTTAAATCTGACACTTCTACTCTCTAGCAATATGGAGAATAGTATTTCATTCTTCTTTTCTAAGACATATGGAGAATTTAGAACATGCAGTGCTGAGGGGTATGATCTCTCTTGCATTAAAGAACAAAAACAAACCATAAAAATCTGTCTGAATTACCCTGCCTATAATATATAATTGCCTACTTATATATTAGCTTATCTCTAATTTTCAATACCACATAGTTCAAAACTTTACACAATGTCATGTCCAGATGTTTCTAAATTCGATTTTAAGCTCCTTCTGCCAGAAAACTTTCCTTACACTTCTTATACTTCATGTGTTAATACACTTTAGGAATTGTTAACATGTGTTCATTCAACTCCCTAATTCAGTTATTCAAGAACATCACTGAAACATGAATGAGACATTACTGATATCATTGGGTTCATTGAAGAAATTGAAAGGTTGGCCCCTAGTAATGTGCCAGAGGATTACTTTGAGGGGATGAGATTTGGGAACCAAAATATGTGGAGACAACCATCTTCGATTTTCTCCAGCAATCTGCAATACATGGTATAGAGGTAGGAAAAGTCTATTTTACAGTTAGCCAGGGTCAAGATGAAAGGTTGCTACTACTGGCAGAAAAAGAAAGAAGAGTTGGAGAGATGGGAAGGAAGAAATAAGGGAAAAAAAGAAGTTTCAGGGGCTAGAGAATTCATTGGGGTATCACAGGTAAAAGTTGGTTGACTTATAAGCTGTAATCACAAATTATTTAAATTGGAGTTTCCAGGTTCTAAAATGGGAGCAGTTCTTGGTGGGAATGATGGTTTGTTCATGTACAATATAAGTAAAAGTTTTGAAAGTTAAGGAAATCAAGTTGAAACTTGGTGGATAACTTACCGAATGTTAATGTTGTCTCTAATTATGGCAGGAGTTCTGAAAGTCATGACTCCAGTGAGTTAGGTGCCAAAATCTTCAGTAGATGAAGGCTGAGGGACGAAGAGAGTGGTAGACCATGAAATTCAAAGAGTTATCAGAAAAATGCAAAAGGAAATTTTGCCTATTAGTGAAGTTTAACTGGTTTATAGCTTGCTTTAGTCTATGAAACTTCTTACCATTCCTATTTAACATTTCAAAAAAATGTATTTTGATAAATACTTTAAAAGATACAAAGATGGAAATACTTAGAAAGGAGATAAGTTTTAGTCTATTGTATTTTAATGAGAACTTTTTTAAATGGGAGGCAGTTTACTAGCCACCATGCACCTCCTATCTTACTTAAAAATAACACAAACCAATATTTTACTAAGTTTTTATGTTTGATCAAAATAATTTTATTTTATATAAGCTTCTGCTAGCATTTAATGGTTGTACTGGGAATCCTGGTTACAGGATTAAAGCCAAGATTAATGACTAGATGAGAGGATGTTCTCTTACTAAATCACTTCTTACCCAACTTAGAATATAAAGTGCATAACAAAACATTTGAGAGTTGGTGTCTGATTTCAAAACTGAGGGAAACAGTTTTCAGTTTTTTAACTCAGAGTAAGTTTTGAAATTCAAAACAATAGAATGACTCTCCATTTACTCTTATCCTACCCAGAGCCTTGATTCTCTTTTATTGGGTATTTTACTTTCACAGTTTTAACCATCATTCCTGTCTGGATTAGTCCCACTTGTTAGTCTTGGCCTCTCTATCAAGCTCTGGTTCTGATTTCTATCTACCTATATGACACATCCACTTATAAATACCATTAATACTTGGAACAATATGTTTACAAGTAATTTTCACATTCTCTTTCCAGACACATTTGTATCTCTCTTACATTTCCATCCAGTCACAACCAGATTAGAACCATGAACAAGATAAATATCTCTTCTCCTTTTAAAGGCTTCCAGAAATGATAATTTCCTAAAATCTTTGACAAGCAAACTTTATAAAGTAAGCTACAGAGAACTAAAAGGAAAATGATGATGCCTTTATATCTCACTGCAGATATAGTTCTATGATTTAAGGCTATAGATCAAAGAGACTCATTTTACAAAGAAAATCACTTCTGGGGGAGTGCTCATAGAGAAGATTAGATGGGTGCTTAAAAGACAAGAAAGGTTTAACAGTATTTATCTTCAAGGGATCATTGATTAAGATATAAAATAAAAAGAGAACTTGGAAAAATAAGTTGCTGTATGAATGCAAAGATTGTTTTCTGGTCTGTATTGTTTCTTTTCTGATTATGTTAATCTAATTCATTTACTCCCTGAGGAACATGCCACCAATGATTTCAAAAGATTAAATCATCTTTCTCTGTTATAGATTTATTTGAAATCTCTGGTTTTTCAACCATCTACTTTTTGGTCTGGAAGCTTTTTGAACAAAATATTCCCATTATAGAAATATTTCTAGGTAAACCATTTACCACGAACAAAATGACATCTACCCTAGATTGGTAGCTGCTCTTTGAATAATAATCTTCCTAAAGTTAAAAATGGATAATTAAGGTCTGTTTTAGAGACTTGATTTCCGAGAAAGGAAGCTCAGTAATTAAAGTAAAAATGAAAATGGAAGCTGATCAGAATTGAATAACAATTTTCCATTTCCATTTAAAAGAATCTCTCAGGCACCAAGTTTTATTCAAATTATCCAGAAGGATACTCAAACTATTTATTTACAAATAGCCTTAGATTTTTAGTGAAAGAACTATAAGCTATGTTATTTTGGTTCTATAAAATAAATAGGAATGAAAAGCAACTCAAAAATTCATGTTGCTGTGGAGGATGGAAAGGAAAGGGGGAAAAAAGAAGGATGTTTTGAGCAGGAGGCCAAGTTCCTGTCCCCTCCCTACTCACCTTCTTCTTGGGAGAATTTCAACCAGGAGAGGTCCCTACACAGTAGTCAGTTTGCTGTGCCCTCAAAGTCCACTTACTTCTCAACCCCCACAAGCAGGCAAGGAACTGCTTGCTAGCCTGCCTTATGGATTGCAGACTGGAGACAGTCTCTAGGACAAACTCTTTCACTGGAGAGGCACAAACACAAGTAACCGCAGACAAAAATGTCCTTTATTCATCTTACAATGTGGCAGAGTATTAAGAAGGCCCTTGAAATTATCGGGATAGAAGGAACACACATTAATAGGATAGGGGATCAAACTTATGCTGCAGAAGCTGCGGATAGTTTCGTAATGATGTGCTTCACCCCTTGTGCCACCAGAGAGCTTTATTTTTAATAATACCTTTAGTTCCAAAACTCTAACTAAAGCATAAAAACATTGATTTTCAGAGGTAAGGCTTCAGATCTTATGAAAAGTCTAGAAAAAATCAAGTAAACCTATTATTAAAGGTTCCATGCAGGAGAGTTACAAATTTGTTGTGTTATTTTGCATTTTGTGTGAGCTCCAAATTGTACCTGGTTACATATCTGTGCAAATGTTCAATCTCTGCTGATTTTGGATATGCTATCTATATTAACCATTATATTTATATTATTAACCCTCACACCCTCCTCTTTTTCCAGATAGCTTTGAGTGGTGAGCTGAGGTATAACTATCTTTCCAAATGATTTTTGTATAATGTAAACAAAGGTTGTGCCCAAAACATTAAAAGTCTATTTCTGTTTCACTATTTTCCACCACATGTGCACAAAATCAATTTGGTTCATTTACCATGGCGATATTGTCAATTCAGTTCCAGACTACTGCAATAAAGCTAATATATTAATAAAAGGAATCACACAAGATTTTTGTCATCCCAGTGTATATACAACTTGTGTTTACACAATATTATGTTCGATTAAGTGTGCAATGGCATTATACACAACGCACAAGCTATGCAACAATGTACACACCTTAATTTAAAAATACTGCTAAAAATAATTAACCATCATACGAGCCTTCAGAAAGTCATCTTTTTTGCTATTTTAGCATCTTGTCTCAATATTGACGACTTCTGACTTATCAGGGTAGTGGCTGCTAAAGATTGAGAGACTGGGGCAATTTCTTAAAATAACAGTGAGGTTTCCCACACTGATTGATGCTTCCTTTCAGGAAAGATTTCTCTGTAACATGCCATATTCTTTCAGCAATTTTCCCACAGTAGAATTTCTTTCAAAATTGTAATCAGTCCTCTCAAACCCTGCCATTGCTTTATCAACTGCATTTATTTATTAATGTTCTAAATCTTTTGTCATTTCTGTAATGGTCACAGCAGCTTCATCAGGAAAAAATTCCATCTCGAGAAATAATCTGTGTTGATCCATAAGAAGCAGCTTCTCATGCACTCAAGTTTTATCATGAGATTTCATTAATTCAGTCACATCTGTCCCGACCCGCGGGATTCGTAGGCACGAAAAGAGAAGGGCTGAGGATTGAAATGAGGGGCTTGAGACAACTTGACGCTAGCGTTTACTTCTTTATTTTTCCTTTTCCTTTCTTTTACTTTTCCCTGTCTTTCTACCTTCCCTGACCTTCTCTCTGCTCCTCTCGCAATAACCTCCTGACCTTCTCGTGGTTCTCTTCTTATATCCTGGTAGCTCCTCCCATCGTACCTCCCAGTCTCATTTGATTAATAGGAAACACCTGTGGTTTCTCAGCAGGCAAAACGGTAAAGCGAAAACTAATTAATGGCACGTGTGTTGCGCAACACGGCGCATGCTCCAGGCGGCTCCGGACAACATCTTCAGATGCCACTTCTAATTCTGGTTCTGATTCTGGTTCTCTTGCTATTTTCACTACACCTACAGTTAGTTCCTCCACTGAAGTCTGGAAGCCCTTAAAGTTATCCACAGGATTGGAATCAACTTCTTCCAAACTTCAGATTATCATGATATTTTAACCTCTTTTAATGAATCATGAATGTTCTTAATGACATCTAGAATGATGAATTTTTCCAGAATTTTTTCAATTTACTTGGCCCAGAGACATCATTATCTGTGGCAACTATAGCCTTACAAAGTATTTTTTTTTAAGATTTATTTATTTATACAAGAACTAGGGTACAGACCAGATGTGCGGGAGGGTGAGAGGATTCACCAGAAATAGAGCGGGGAACAGAACAGGCAGGCTGACTGAAATCCACTGCTGAGGGAAGCAGCGTGCCAGACAGGAGAGGTCTGCCACGCCTTGTGGGTATCTCCCTGGCCGGCCGGGATTGAACCGTGCTGCAGAGGCTACGGACAGCTTCACAGCACTGTGCTCAACCGCCTGTGCCACCAGGGCGGCTCCAGAAAGTGTTTTCTTAAAAATAGGACATAAAAGTTGTGAAAATTACTCCTTGATCTATGGGTTGCAGAATGATGTTATGTTAGTAGGCATGAAAACAACATCATCTTCTTGTACAACTACAGGAGAGTTCTTGGGTGACCAGTTTCATTGTCAATGAAAAGTCATCTTTTCCACAGGTATCTTTTTCTAAGCAGAATATCTCAACCATAGACTTAAAATATTCAGTAAATCATGTTGTAAACAGATGTGCTATCATCAAGACTTTGTTGTTCCATTTCTAGAACACAGGCATATTTAACATCATCCCTAAGAGCCATAGAATTTTTTAAATGGTAATAAGCACTGGCTTCAAATTAAAGGCTCCAGCTTCATTAGCCCCTAAAAAGAGTCTGCCTGTCCTTTGAATCTTTGAAGCCTGGTATTGACATCTCCTCTCTGGCTATGAAAGCCCTAGTATAGATGTGCAGATGTGTAGATGCCTAGATAGCATCTTCTTCTACTATAGGGCTGTTTCATCTCCACTGAAAACCTATTTTGTATTGTAGTCACCGTTATCAAATGATCTTAGATTCTTCTGGATAACCTGCTACAATTTCTACATCAGTACTTGCTGCTTCACTTGTGATTTTATGTTTTGGAGACAGCTCTTTTCTTAAACCTCGAAACCAATTTCTATTCTCTTAAACTTATCTTCTGCAGCTTCCTCATTCTCTCACCCTTCATATAACTGAACAGAATGCGGTCTTAGTCGGGATTCAGCTAAAGGGAATGGC